GATAAATCATGTTTTTGTCTAGCAAAAAAAAATCATGTTTTTGTGGGTGATTGGTTCGGCTGTAGCTGTAGATTAATTGCTGTAGAATTTTTGCTGTAAATAATTTGGCTATAGCTGTACATTTTTTAGGCTGTACATTTTTATGCTGCAGATTTTTTTGCTGTACATATTAAGCTGTAGCTGTAATATTAAAATAAAAACACGATTGATAACTATAAGATATGTGCTGTANTTTTAATTAAATTAATTTATGCAAATAAAAATTGTTATAATTTAGAAATTTTATGTTGATTTGAACATAATAAATAATGAACTTCTGAATCTATGTGTAGAATAAATAAATAAAATCGCTTTTAGGCATCTATGTGTAGGCATCTATCATATCATCTTCTAAAAGCTATGTATAGATCTCTATGTGTAGAGTAAATAAAAAACACAGAAAACATTCATGAAGAGAAGATGGAGACAAAAGTAAACAAAAAAAAAATTGTATAATCTTGAAAAGAGACTCACTGATTTGATTTGTGGTGAAGAGAAAATAAGAAGACGTGTTTCTTCAAANCTTTGTGACGGCAATATACACACACATATATATATAGGTTAGACTTTTTTCAATTAGGTAAATCGATGTGCTTATCTTGATTTTTCCATTTTTTAAAAATAATTTTTTTAAAAAAATAAGAGTGTACAGCCATAAAAATTGGGCTGTAAGATTTTACATGTTACAACAAAAAATTTTTTTTAAAAAAATTAAAGAGGCTGTAGCTTATAAAATTAAAGCAAAAAACATGTTTGGTAATAAATGATGTAGGTTTGAAATATAAAGAATTAAAGCTACAACATGATTGGTAACATAATGATGCTTTAAGAAAAATTAAGGCTGTAGACAAGGCTTAAAGCCCAACCAATCATTTATATTATCAAATAAATGAATAAGATTTTTATGGTAAACTGCGTGACAGATATTTTGCTATTTCACATTTTTTTCTGATCATACATTTACGTGATATTTTTTTTTTTGTTTAACACTGAATGACATTTCTATTAAGACCGAAAAACGGTATGAAGAGAATACAAAGTTTTAAATAAAACACCAATTGGTGTTTATAACAAAGCTTCAGATTTGAGAATATTAATATATCTCACCTTAAGATAATAAACATTAAGCAACATCATCATCATGACATCTCAACTTGGTTATCATATGCTCTCATGTCCATTAACGGATTATGCCTCTATGAGAGCAAGAATTCTCAAATCTTAAATCTTAAGCTTCATACTCAGACAACCAATGGCACTCGTTGTACCACTAGAAGTTATCCAAAGATAGTGATGTTGAAAGACTTGTAAACACTTTGATAGAAGCCAAATAAAAAAATTAGACCCAAACCGGTCTATATATTAAGTAGTAACAAAGAGCGTGAAGCATGATCTACTCCATAAAAACTCTAAAAGAGCGAAGCATGATCTACTCCAGAAAATCTCTTAGACAAATATGGGATGTAATCCAACAAAACCAAGACGTAGAAACCACGAACAAACCCATAGCCAAAAGATACATAATCCAAAATAAA